AATGTGATTAGTGATTCAATGCTGTGATTAGTGATTCAATGATGTGATTAGTGATTCAATGATTTGATTAGTGATTCAATGATGTGATTAGTGATTCAATGCTGTGATTAGTGATTCAATGATTTGATTAGTGATTCAATGATTTGATTAGTGATTCAATGCTGTGATTAGTGATTCAATGATTTGATTAGTGATTCAATGATTTGATTAGTAATTCAATGATGTGATTAGTGATTCAATGATGTGATTAGTGATTCAATGCTATGATTAGTTTCAATGATGTGATTAGTGATTCAATGATTTAATTAGTGATTCAATGCTGTGATTAGTGATTCAATGCTGTGATTAGTGATTCAATGATTTGATTAGTGATTCAATGCTGTGATTAGTGATTCAATGATTTGATTAGTGATTCAATGATTTGATTAGTGATTCAGTGCTGTGATTAGTGATTCACTGATTTGATTAGTGATTCAATGATGTGATTAGTGATTCAATGATTTGATTAGTGATTCAATGATGTGATTAGTGATTCAATGATTTGATTAGTGATTCAATGATGTGATTAGTGTCTATTAGTGCTTTAAATCATTTATTTTAGGAAAATTGTTCACAAGTATTAAAAAGTGCAATAAACCATCTAAACTATAGTAATTTTATGTAATGCAAAGTCCTTTAATAAAGTTACTGGCACTAAACAGCTGTCAAACAAATACCATGTTTACTACTAGGAGATACTTTTTGGATGTTGACCTATTAAATATTGAAAAAAAAGAAGAGATGATAATGCAAATTATCCAGTAAATTGTTTAAAAAAGTTTCTACAAAACAATTTTAAATATCTGATAGCATTTCTGCTTGACATAGGGCACCCGGCAGAATATGAAATAATAAAAGTACATTAAAAACTCCTTCACATGGCTATAATCCAATAATAGGAATATGGCTTACTCAACATATTTTGCTCAAGATCAATGAGAAAGGGAGAAACTCCCCAAACTATGTTTAACACCAGAGAAATGTACTAAACCTCGAAACAGTCGGTGGAATTAGTTTGGATAAATTGATACTAAAATAGAGTTATGACTGCTGACAATGTATGTAAATGTAGAAAAAACACAGTGTAATCTCTTGAAGATACTTGTGTCCAAAGAAACTATCTGTGGTTGTGTATAGGTGTTTTTTTCATGAATTTCTGGTTAGAGAAAAATCTGTTAAGATGCTTATTTTATCACTAAAAACAAACACTTCAAGTTAAATAATATGTTTTATTTAAGAAGTTCAAACATCAAAGCCACTCATTGCATTTAGTGAGGTTTAATATTGTGGTTGATCTTATAATCTATTAAAAAACTCCAAATTCCAACATATTTCATTAAAAACTGAAATGTCATTGATCACATAGAGACTAAACTTGATAATCAAAATTTCTTCAGGCTTAATTGTAACTGGATGGTCTGAAATGTAAGCTAATTCATTGAAACACAATAAAACATGCATTTGTAAATAGTCTTTTACATAAAATAATCTTTACTTAATATTACCTTTATAGAAACATAGTCATTCTGGACAACAGCTTCAACATTAGCTGGCACTTTTGTTTTCTGTGGAGTTGTCTGAAGTGCTGATAAATCTTTCTCTTTTGACTTGTAAGTAACTCTGTTCATTGTGTTACTTGGGGCCTGATGGGAGGGTATTTTTGGTATATCATTCAGCTCAGGATTATCTCTGTCACATAATTCCAAATCCTTCTCTTTTTCAACTGTGCATAACTTGACAGAAAACTGAATGATAGTTAAAAATAAGGATTTTGTTAATCATTTTATTTAATATAAAAAGGAGTTTTAAAATTAACATGTTCTTCCTTTAACTAGGTAAGTTTTATTGCCATTGTGGCAACATAACTGTGACTACTTCTTTACCACATGAAATTCCTATGCATAGATTCAAAAAGGTGAGTAAATAGCATATATTCTATACACTATCATAAACACACTTTTAATTTTGACAGTTCAAAAAACTATGTATCATTTAATAAACTTTATCTTCTTGATACAGATAAAATGCTTCTACATATACACAAGTAAACATTCTAATCATTATGCATTTATGTTTTCTTGATACTGGTTTAAGATATTATTTACTTTTTGTCAGTTTTATACGGAATTTGTAAGTCATAAATACACTGAAAATCCCAGTTTCTCTTATACGAACTCATCTTAAAGACCGAGTGCATCTATTAAACATAAAACCTTTTACACAAGTGAAAGCTTGAATACAGTTTCGCATATTACATCATTTATCCTGGTATAGTTATGAAGATTGCTGAATTAATTTGTCAGAAAGATTCTTACAGTTAATTATATAAAAAAGCACTTAAAAATTGTTCTATCTTTATAAATAAAAAAAAAAAAGAGAATGAAAGTCAGTCTCAACTTTTAACACCAGACTAACAAGTGTTAAAACACCTTTTCATCTACACAATCAGCTTGAACATTATTCAATGAACAGAACCAAATTAAAAACATAATTTCACAGGACGTAAGCAACATATAACATCCTCAAATTTTACTAGGGGTACAAAAAATTCTAAGTTAATTATGATTCAAGTTTTATTAAACCACTACACTGAACAAGCCTTAAAGTATGAGCATCAAAATTATCAAATCAGCCCTAGTTTTCAGAAATTAAAAAATATATATTTTTTTTACAGACTTACCCTTATGCACATGGCAAAGTGAACATGTTGCACACTTTTATACAGTTACATTCAATATTTAATCAAACAACTTTGTTATTAATGTATGTCAACAAACTTGGATTCAACATATAGTTTCTGATTCTAATATTAATATTACCTAAGTTTTAATTTCAAAAGGAAATACAAAAGAAAATTCTCAATCTTCAGTCTTTTATATGTCATACGATGCAAATGTGCCTGAATTTTTCTCTTTCAGAATTTTTTAAAATCAAAAACAGCTGCTAAGGCTTATAACCAATTAGAAACTCAAACTAACCATATTGATATTAAAGAATATAATATTTGAACCACCTACCTTCTTGACTTACTGAGATATTAATAAATTTGTCAAACCCACCATCTTGCCCCTACCATCTTTTCAAGCCAATTATTTCCTCATGCCTGTTTGTCTGATAGACATATTTATAACCAATAAAAAGAGCATACTGTAATGTACAGAAATCTCAAACTGATTTTTTTTAGTTTTAATGGTCAAAGACAGTAGTTTTCAAAAAAGCTTGATGTGTTTTGAATACAGTTATTGCCATAAACAGTAATGGAATTTTTTTAACCTATTTATATCTTAGTTAGGAAGCCATATAAATTATCGTAGTTTGGGGACATCCTATTCTAGTACCTGATATATACTTTGTGTTCTAAGATACATATTTGAAAGGTATATGAATAATTTTTGGACAACCAGCACTGTAAGAAAAAGTAAGGTTACTGAAACATAACATCTGAGTGCAAATTGCCCTAATACTAAAGTAAAAGCTAAATTTCTTATTTTTTATGTATTTTTATTTATTGTTATTCATTTTTTAACAAAAATAATTTAAATGTAAAACTCCTTAGGTTAAGTAATAAACCTAAATTAAAAGATAATCTATGAGAAATATAGAAAAGCTCTCGCATTTAGCATGTAGCCTGATTGTTTGTTTACCCTAAGTTTCACCTGAACGATTTCCAAGCAGGAGTTAGTGTGAATCGTATCCCTTCTTTTGTTTCTGTCTAATGATGGGAAACTTGACCAAATTGCAAGAAACAAACTTAACAAATAGTGTCTAGTTTCAGCTTAATAAAAATTTGTATAATTTGATTTACTAATTGTATTATTTTTTGAGGCTGTGAAATTCTAAAATTCTTTTAGGAGACACTGATTTGAAAACCATAAAAAATACTAACCTTACTTTAGGGAATTAATTTTTTGTTGATCAGAATGTTCTTTCATATATCCAATCATACTTGCTTAACCTAACTAAGCTTACCCGATATTTTGTCATAGAAGAAAATTTTCCATTGCTTTCAAACAGATATAATGTAACATGAAAATATTTTTTAAATGAAAAAAAAAGAGTCTAAAGATCTGTGGTTTGTTTCTAGATCTCCTAAGCTTCCTATTAGATTCAACTGTTCTTTCGTATAGGAGTTTGGGGTTGTCATTTTCCCATGAAACAACAAATATACTCAACATTGACATAAATACTCTATAATATGCTCTGTAGCACTCTATTAAATATTTCATGTGGTAATTTTCAAAGCTCTGCTTCAGACCATATGATATGACATCGTAAAACAGTGGGAACAAAAAGTTATAATACAAAATCACTAGAAGATAAAGAACATAATGTGTAAAATGTATAATTATATTCTTAAGGAATGACAGTTTCTTAGCAAAATAAACATATGCTTTTGGAAGGGAGAAAAATTCTGAAAAAAAAACAATAAGTGCATTTTTTTCAGTCAAGATTCCTCAGAGATATCCAGAAATATAACTTTGAACACTTTTTTTTTCATTTTCATTTGTGAATTACACTAAATAAGTGTCACAAACTTACAAAATACCAATTCTAAAATATTTCTTAACTAAAATTGTCGGAGTAAATAGAATTATTATTTTACTTGAATTTTAAATACAAGTTTTCTGCAGTCCTAATAAGATTAATGGGAGTGGTAGGAGAAATAATTGGAAAAATCAGTTATAACAGAAAAAAAAAAGATGAGTTATCTCATGACAAAAGTATAATTTTTAAAATTTACACAACAATATGTCATTAACTCCAAGAAACTTTAATCACTAGACAAGCTGAATGAAAAAAACTAAAACCCAAATCAGACTGAAGTATTACTGAGTTTTACAGCAAATTTGCTCATAATAATTTTCAATTACTAAAAAATAATTAAATTTTGAAATAATATAAAAACAAGTCAGAGAAACAATGTGAATTTCCTGATTAGATAGTTATTATAATAAAATGAAATAAAAACTGTAACCTTTAGCAATCCTTGATTTACAGCAAAACAATTCTTTGACTTGTTCCCAATTCGGTCCGGATGCAGTGGTTCTTCGAGATCAATCTCTAATAGCTTTGTTTGAAACAACTTCCAAAGAGGAAATTTGCAGCTTCCAATTTTCACATTCTATAATCCAGAATTACTTGTTAAGGTTTTTATCCCATAACTGTTTCTTATAACCACAGACAGTGAAAAAAAATAAACTACAAGTTCCTTAAATTGTTTGTTTTTGTATTAGAGAACATTGAACAAAGTTACATAAAGGACTATTTAGGCACAGTCATTTCTAATTTTCAACTGACAGATTAGTGGGAAAGCAGCTAGTCCACAGTACCCACTGCCTACTGTTGGGTTTCTCTTGTCTAATTGAAAAGTGAGATATGACCATCACTCTTATAAAGCACCCAAGGCTCCACAGTGCAGCATGTTTTTTGGCAGGAACAGGCCACAAATTACAAACTCTCAAAATCACAGTCTAGGCAGGCCCACTAAGATCACTGAATGCACACTGGATGAATAAAGTATTTAATTTATACTTACGTAAATATGGAACAAAACATATATTTATTGTAAAAGTTATATTTAATTATAAATTTATCACTTTACACTGTGTAAACCTAGAGGTTAAAATGAATATACAATGTAAAATTCCAAAGCTGTTGCAACAGATAACATGAAACACTTTGTGAAATAAACTACAGGCTCTTTACACTACAGAACAATGTTGTTGTTTTTTTTCAGACACATGTTCCATATAAGTTCAATCTCTTAAAAGCAACTGTCTTAAATCTTTTAAGGTATATGTTCACAAAAATCAAGTAATTTATAAACTATGCACACTCACAGAAACAGGTATTTGAATAAATATCAACTAACTAAAACAGAACAAAGAATGGAAAGCATAAGAAACAAATAAAATTACAACTATTAAAAGAACAAATATTATACATATAGCGTACATGATACTATATGATAAGAAACAGTTTTACAAAATCTTACTTTAATTTAAATATAAGTTTTGAGAAGAAATAAGTACATAAAAATTAATACCTCTCTCCTGTCATGAAATCTTGCTTTTACACAGAAAATTAGTTCCTCATTCATCACGCTACTAATATCCATCTGGGTACCCACCCACGGCAATATCACTTCTTGGTCAAAACTCACAACTTTGGAAAGACAAAAACAAGAAAATGGATATGAAAAAAAACTTTTATAAATTACAAGTAAACTTCAAGTCAATTTCTCAATTATTAACTTTTATTAAGAAGAGATCATATATTTTGCTTTATTATTATTATTATTTTCTCTTTAAGACACAACATAAGTCAGACCATCTTGAAGATACCCAAGTACTTACCACAACCATTTTCTCTTCGTGAAACAAATTTCAATGGTTCTTTACTTCTAGTACGGTGTCCTCTATAGTCCCACGATTCACGTCCTTTTATAAAGGATGATGAAACTTCGATTAAATATGACCTAAATAAAATGTGAAAAACTTGCACTGTTACTTGAACTACTGTAACACTTTTCTTTCATTTAAAATATAAGGTACTGATTGACTAATGTGAGTTGTAAAACTCACTTAAAAATTACCATAACTACAAACTGAATACAAAAATAGAAATGACACTTCTTCATGTTCACAAAAATAAAATGATTGATGAACTTTAACTGAACAGTAAAGTTAATGCTAGAGAAAGTGATGATAGAAGTGTATAAACGAAAGACTCTTAATTAAGGCTGCAGCTCAGTGGAGTAAGATCAGTATTTATTGTTGTTGTGAACTACAAATAGAAGCAAAATCCCTATGTTTCTAGTAAAACTTTATGAATACAAACAAAATACTTTCAATCAATACATCTTTTGAAATCAATAAACAAGACTATACTGAAAGCAATTAAAAATTAAAATCTGATCCAATAAATGCTATTCATATATCTTTGTAACATATAACAAGTTATGCAAACAAAGGTTTATTTTTCTAAATAAACAAAATTATTAACAAAATAGTTTAAAAATTCTCCTCATACAGGTTTTATGCAGGAATTAAACTAATCTGGTGGAACTAAACATATTTACTTACAGGAGAGTTAATTACTTAAAGCAGACTGCTTAACAATAAACTAAGCAGATAGAATTAAAGATACTTACTTACAAAAGTGGTGATTACTTAAAGTGGATTATATAATAAACTAAGAAGGTGTAACTAAAGATACAGTAGTGTTGATTACTTAAAGCAGACTGTATAATAATAATCTAAACAGATGGAACTTAAAGATACTTATAGTAGTGGTGATTACTTAAAGTGGATTATATAATAAACTAAGAAGGTGTAACTAAAGATACAGTAGTGTTGATTACTTAAAGCAGACTGTATAACAATAAACTAAGCAGATCGAATTAAAGATACTTACTTACAGTAGTTTTGACTACTTAAAGTGGATTGCATCATAAGAAATACAGAAAAAATTAACATAATAATTCAAATAGTTTCTACATATTAAAATTAGAAAGAAATAAAAACCCTATAACCTGAGGAATTATAAAAAGGTGGACCTTTCGAAAGTGATCGGGTTATAGGGTATTTATTAATTTCTATCAAGACTTCTTGAACCTACGTGTTTTTCTAACATGATTAATATATATTAAAATTAATATCTTTGAGTCAAAAAGTCTAAGCTTTTATAGAAGTAACCTCATATAGCATGTCTTTAACAATGCAGGTAGTTTAAGCATACATCAATATCTTCTGGCCCAAGGAAGTTTTCATGGTTTTTTTAAAGATGAAACATTGTATCTTTTTTCATTGATCTATATGCTTTCCCACAGTTTTTAACTTTTGACAGCATATAATTTTCACCATCAGCTTAATATTACTAAAACTACCCATAATGCTAATCCTTATCAGGAATGGATTTGGAAGGAGCCACAAAATGCATAAAGCGTCAAGTCTTCAAACATTTATGAGCCTACCAATTAGAGTTTAATACGCATCCTTCATTCAGTTTGTTTTAGCAAAAATTATCTCTGTCTATTTTTAAGTTAAAAAAACCTTAACGTTATTATCAGAGTCACAGACTTGACATACTTATTTGCATGCATTGCACATAGTATATTCTCAGTACAAGCAGCAGCATCACGGGAGAGTTTCGAAAGATAAAGATAATTTAAATACATGTTTGAAGAAACTGATTTAAAAAAATCTTTGAAATAATGTAAATACTTGTTTCAGGATGTCCACAGCCACCTAGAAACTGTAAGCCATTTTAGGCATACAGAGAAACATTTGCAAGATAGCAATTAATAGTATAACATTCTCAATGTCTGTCAATACAACAGAAACTTCTATAGTTATATGAATCTATACACACTGATTCCAAAATGTACTTAAACAACAACAAAAAAAAAGATAACAAAACCCTCTGAGTGTGATAGTTTCTTTATAAATTACTAATGGTCTTTCCATCCATTTCCAGGTGCACCTTTTACAACCTTCTTGAATATTTATTTTATTTCAATGTTTTTCTCATTTCCAAATCTTTGACATAACTGTCAAATTTTGACACAACAGCCTTCTATAGTACAAACCAGAAACATCAACCATCAGTCCGGCTAAAGTAGTAGTGATAACTAATTGCAATGTATTAAAATTAAAATGTTATTTTATTATAAAACATTCCTATCACAACTATACCCACTTATATAAACTAACTAATAATTCAGTGTTTTTTTTGTGTTTTTTTCCTGAATCGTGGATTTCCTGACAACTACATTTGATTTAATACCTTTGGTTAACTTCCTGATATAAATTAACAAAATAAATACATTATCTTACAAACTAAAGATATTAAAGTAAGTGAAAATATAATAGAAATAACAAAATATATACCTCTGCAGTTACTGGAAACTTATTTTTAAACTTTCAATATTTTCATAACTATTTCTTCTTTAAATAAAACTTTGGTAGCCATCTAAGATTTGTTTTCATTGCACAAAATGTCTTTGTGATAAATTATTTTTTTCCAAAGCTTCTAAAAAGTTATTCTAAAATGAGGAAATGGCTCTCACACTCCTAACTTGTGTTAGTATTGTAGTAGTTTAAATTGTTAACCCTCACATTACCAGCTCATTTTTATATCTTTCATACCCAGTGACGTCCACTTATTGCATCATATTAAATAAATCTGTTTTATGCCTGTTATACACTCAGTATAAAGAATTGACTAATCAAATTCAACATTTACTATGTAAGATACATAGAAAACCTCAACAGTAATTAGTGAAATTAAATGCAATGTTAATGGTATTTTTGTTTAAAATTCTTTTGTGTGACTCATATGTTATCCAGAACCCCATAACTAAGAAATTCATGGAGCAACAAGCAACTTGGTGCACAAATAGTTCAGAAAGAAGTACTTGCAAAACAGGTAGAGTTACGTGGACCTCGTCAGTAATTCTAAGGTAAAACAAAAGTCTGAACCAGCAGTTGCTAGTGAGTAAAGCACTCACTTCACATGCAAGTGATCTTATAGTTCAATCTCATATGCAGTAGTTTTACAAAATAGTGTTGCGTCAGCGAGTCACATGACCACTGTGGCGCCCTCTAGTTTCTAGAACTATCTTGTTCTTTCAGGAATGCTCTAGTATTTACTAGTAAGGTAGGCTGATATATATAAGAGGGGAAAACGTGACGCGGGAGGAGAAGGTAATGTGTGTATAGA